GTTCACTGCTTTCCATACGTTTGTCTTGTCAGAAGTCACACAGAGACCGTTGGTAGGAGGTTGTTGTATCCAAGAGCTGAGGGAAGAGGCTGATGGTTAGATCAAGGCTGAGAGATTTTATGATTCACAGTGTTTAGGATTGTGTCTCTCACCTTTGAGTCAGATTACTTCCATCAACCCACTTCCATGTCCCTTCTTCAGCTCTCAGGCCGATCCAGTATCCACTGATTCCAACTTTATCGAATAACCATTTGGTTTTATTAATGTAGTCCTGAGAACAGCACAGACACACTTGTCAGTGACATGTCAACACTATAAACACACTGTGATCTACAGACTCAGTGTGTTCAGACTGACAGAAAATGCTTTTTCATTTCATATAGGCTGTTATATAAATCACATTTTCTTCATTACCTTCTCAGTGTCATTATCTATAACAGCCAAATCTGAAATCTTTCCTGTGCAGTTTTCTCGAGCTTCTTCCCAGGTTTTCTGATTAGGGGACTCAGCGTCATTAAATGCGTAACAGCTGGACTGGAAGAGGTTCCAGCCTTTCTGACAAGCATTACACACTCTTCCTGAAACAACAAAGACCAACATTTAACCAATGTGACTGTATTGTAATATTTTTATTATTGGTTATTTTGGACCTGTTTAATGGGATCTGAACATACCATTACTTTCTCTGGGGCAGTAGGCATCAATGCTCCACTGAGCACGACTGATGTTGAGCTCATTTGAGTTTCTCTCCATGTTTTGTATTTGTTGTGTTAAGTTGTTCCTCTGTGTCTTCAGGTCCTGGATTTCTGCAGTCAGGTTTGTGATCTTGCTCTCTAAGACAGCAGAGGCTTGTGTCAGGTTGGAAGTGAGAGCCAGTAGGGTCGTCTGGTTGTCTTTTAACTGCTGCAGCTTTTTGTCATCACCCGTGTTACTTAATGTAACGACTGCAAAATGAAAATAAGCTTCAGTGATATTATTATTGCAGCTTTAGTTCTGCATGGTTTCTTTCAGTCCTTTTTGAAGCTCGTACCTGACTGTTCTAGTTCAGGATTTTGGAAGTGTATGCTCTCATTGTGTTTCTTGAATTTATGAAATCAACAAATCCCATGACAGGGCTAAAACCAACAATGTGTTAGTCTGTCTCCCATTAGCTTCCGACTTCCTGCATGTCTGTGCCAATCATCTGTTGGTAATCCTGGAAACGTGTGAAGATCTCTACCCTCTCTGACTTGTATATCTGTCCCCATACCTGTGGTCATAAATATGACTGAATGTGATCTCTAAATGCATCATGATGACAGAATAACAATTTAATTCATCTTGATGTGACAAGAATGTCAGTTCAATATTCTGTATGAGATTCTCTTAAGTCAGTTTCAGCTAACATGACGTATTTTCTCACACCTAACATGACTGATGATATGTTTTAAACCTAGTGTGACTTTGACTGCTTTTGACTTTCATTTCAGATCACTGTGTGCTGTGGATTATAACCTGTGTGTTTTATAAGTATCTGCTATAAAGTAATACTTTTACAATGTTTGTGTGATCTACATCACAGAAGATGTTGTTTTGCTTAGATTCACCCTAAAATATGACTTGAGTGTGTAGAGGTTGTGACTTGCTGTTTATTAATAATTCTCTATTAATCTTTAATCACAATTGATTTTACTTTGACTATTTATGTGTTTATGACTTGATATTAGATAAGTGTGTTGTAATATTCTTCTTACTGCAGTTATCAATTAAGAATTTCATGTTTTAATTGACTTCAATGTGAAAAGTGATTTTTGAAAATGTGAATTTAGTTGGAAGTCTTATAGAGCCCATGGCCCATGTATATCCTTGCTTTGACTTATTTGCAATGTTACAATTGTGAATTATCATCTTCGACGTGACCTAAAGTTAAAAAAATTAGCTTACATTTGTTCTAGTATTTCTATGCAGAAGCAACTCAGCTTATACATGTCTTGCAAACTCTCAGCCACGAGACTTTTTTCTGCTAAACTATTAGGTGATACTTTAAGGATTTCACTGAATGGTCTTAACCAGGCAGCACATTGTGAACAACCGTCTTCTTACAGTACTGGCCTGACATGCAGTCGGTGTGAGGAAACAGTACAGTTAAGACCTCAGAGCAGTGGAAACCAAAGTCAAAGCATGAACCTGTAGCTGAAAACTGATGAGCAGAAATGTGGTCATACAGGAAACAGCTCACTAAAAAGTCAAGGTAAAGTGCTTTATGTGATACAGACAGTCATAAGAAGATTAAAATGCAAATTAAAGAAGAGAGGATGTGTGAGTGTATGTTGCAGACACACTGCCAAACAGTGGTGTCACTCAAGTGGCAAAACCACCGTCTTTGGTCGTGGCTGAGCTAATTTGGTTATGTACAGATGGTGTGGATTTGTTTCCTGACTGCACCAAGTAAACATCCCAAGTCCCTTTGTAATAGTCTTCTGTTTTCTTTCCATGATACAACAACTTACTTAACACCACACAGCTGGTCAAGAAGGCCCGACGGCGGCTGTACTTCCTGAGGAGGCTGAGGAGATTTGGCATGTCACCTAGGATCCTTTGCAACTTCTACAGCTGCATCATTGAGAGCATCTTGACCAGCTGCATCACTGTCTGGGATGGCAGCACTACTGCTAGGGAGCGCAAGCACCTGCAGAGTGGGAAAGACTGCGGAGAAGATCACTAGGACTCCACTG